ATCAGATAGCATTTTCAGATTTTTAAAGTTATATCAGAAACCAGGTGTGCATTGGCTTATCACATTAATTCATTCAGCAAATGTGTTTCTTACTCATATACCTATATGCTAAACAGGAGCTCTGGTGGTGTAGTGCTTAAGGCATTTGACTGCTAACCAGAAGGCTGTTGGTTCAAACCCACCAGCCACTCCTTGGAAGAAAGATTGGGCAATCTACCTCCATAATGATCCTGCCTTGGAAACCCAAGGAAGGATCGCTATGGGTTGGATCTGACTTGACAGCAGTGAGTTTGGGTTTGATATGCTAAATACTAGCTGTCATAGCAAGCAAAATTAGGCATGGTAAATGACATTATGGAATTTGTAGTTTGATGAGGGAGGTATATATTAAAGAGTTACACTAAAAAATACAAAATTAAAACTAATAAGGGTTTCATTATAGAAATACATGATGCTATGAAAGCATGTTCTAGAAGGAACTGTCACAGTTGTGTGGTCAAGAAGCTTCCTGGAAGTTAAAGAGGCTTCTTAGGAGGAGTCATATTTGAGCTGAGTTATAGAGGAAGAGGAAGAGTTAAGAGTTACCAGGTAAAAAGGGTGAGGAGGAGAAGCAAAATGTGCCAAGGTGCTGTGGAAAGAAAAAGCATAGGGTTTTAAGAAACAAACACCAATGTAACTGGACTTTGTGTGAGGCACATTGCGTGCTGCAAGAGGCTGGAGAAGTAGGGTTTAGACTGTAGCAATAGGGAGAATTCTTATCTCAAAACAGTGGGACACCATTGAAATACTTTAAATACAGGCGTGATGTGATCATTTGTCCTGCAAAGATCTCTCTGTTGTTGCTGTTAGGTGCTGTTGATTTGGCTCTGACTCATAATGTCCCTGTGTACAACAGAACAAAATACTGCTCGGTCCTATGGCAGCTTCACAATCCTTGACATATCTGAGCCCATCATTGCAGCCATGTGTCAATCCATCTCATTAAGGGCCTTCCCCTTTTTCGTTGACCCTCCACTTTACCAAGCATGATATCCCTCTTCATGGAATAGGCCCTTCTGACAACATGACCAAAGTAGGTGAGACAGAGTCTGGCCAAAAAAATCTCTCTGGCTTCCATGAAAGACAGGCAACCTATTGCAGTAGCCTAGGTAGGAGATGTTAGTAGTTTAGACTAAGGAGATGTATAGCTGAAGTGTATAGTGTGAGGCAGGTTGCATGATGCATCATGTTGTTGTTGTTGTTGTTTGCCATCAAGTTGGACCCGACTCATAGCGACCCCTCCTTGGGTTTTCGAGGCAGTATCACTATGGAAGTAGATTGCCCAATCTTCCTTCGGAGGAGTGGCTGGTGGGTTTGAACCACCAGCCTTCTGGTTAGCATCGTGGCACATACAGATTGAGAGAAGTGATTCAAACTGAAGAATTGTGTAAAGAAAACAATGTCATGACTTGGTACTAGGTTGGATACTGGGGTGAGAGTTAATGAAGTGTCATGAGTGACTTCTAGATATCTGGTTTGCCCAACAGGATTGATGGGTGGTGCTGTGCACTGAGTAGGAGAACCTTGGATAACTCTCTTGTTCTTATCCAAATAAGAACGCTGGGGGAATATCTGGAGTCTTGTTTTCATGCAATTCAATAATGTACTTTGTGTGTCAGGCACTGTTGTAGGATCTGGGGATTCATTGTAAACAAGATAAAATCTGTGCCTTCATGGAACTTACATTTTTGTTGTGAGAAATAGACAACAAATTGACTGTTTTTAAGAGATAATTTTAGGTAGTAGTAAGTGCTATGAATTAAATACAAGTGAGTAATGCAATCTTGAGTGACCCCCGCCTTGGGATGGGTAAGATACACCTCTGATAGAGCCTGGTGGAACCACTGAGACTATGGCCCCTAGCTGCCTGTCAGGTCTGGAATTGAATCCACATCTGTGGCTTCCAGCAAAAGTTGAACATTTACCTGAGGTAAATACACTCCTTGGAGAAAACAATCATGGGAGAAAGAAGGGCTGCTTATGCATTGGGAGACGGCTCAAGGGGCAGGAGTGCATGGAGGGATGGACACAGGGAAGAGGTAATTATCGGGAGGAAGTGGGAGGGGAGCTGTTGCATTGTGGTAAA